GCTTCATGCCCGTGATGCATTTCTTCCCATGGTTAATCGCATTGCTGCAGAGTTACATTGTATACTGTGGTGCCTCCAAAGCCTTCATAGCTTACGTTTTCACTCTTGTGAAATTTGGACTGATTGTAATGCAGCGGTGAGTGCTTTGGAACGACCGAAGGAGTGGCCGAAATACATATCCATTCTCAACAAAATTTCTCAAGCAGTACAGGTGATGCGGGATGTGAGATTTAAGATCTCTTCACCGAAAGCCAACACTTTGGCTAAGGCTATTGCTTGCAGCGTTACAAGAGATGGACGATTCAATTCGTATCTGGCGTCAGGCGGACCAGCTTGGTTACACACTCGGATTGAGGAAGAACGAAGGCAGAGGATTTGATCTTAGGTTCCTTCATCTGATCGATATCTGCAATTATTGCTTTGTTTTTAGTTTGCTGGGCTGTGCTCTGTTTCTTCATCTTTATTGCTCTGTTTTTATTATTTCCTTGTCTTATTATGAACCTCTTTCTTCGTTATAATGCAAGACGTTAAAAAAAAAATATTAAAAAAAGTTTGTTAACTACTATTTAAAATTCAAATATCATGGATAAAAATTTACATTTATTTATTAATTATCTAGTAAATTATGAAGGACGGTTAACAAAAACAGCCACAAAAATGACCGAGTTCCTGGTGTAGCCGAGGTTAGCGAGGATGATTATTTCTTTGGAACAATACAACTGTACGTTCTAAAGAAATAATTACAATAGCTAGTTGTCATGCTCTCGAACAGGATCAGATATCTGATTATGATCATGTTTTGATGCTTTTTGCCTATGATTCTTGGAAGGAATCAATATTTTCGGAAGAATGTTACAATAATAACAATGTAAAAGGTAAAACTTATTTTATTTGGTTTATTATTGTAACTAAAATTAGACTGTTTTTGAAATCATATGTAAATTGATAATATGCAGTATTCAAGCATAGAACATGTTAGAACCATGCACATAATATTGGGGAAAATTTTGCGGAACCTTCAAATCAAAGTATCCTCCAAAATGAATGATCTGGATGCTATAAAAAAATGCATCCTAATAGGCTTGTTGGTTTGGCCTAATTCCACTTGGAGATAAAAGGTTACTCTTCTACCTTTCCAATAACTTTAAGATCATCAAATTTGATGCAGGAAAATCTCTAACTAAACCCCAAATTTATGAAGTACGAAAATTGTTCTGAAGCTTGTTTTACTATATTTTATCTTTTTGGCTCTAAAAGCCGTAAAGATTCTCAATATTACAAATACTCGAAAACTTATTAGAAAAATTAAAATAATTTAGAATGCTTGCTAAAAAAATATATAAATAATAGTGAAATTAGGTAAATGTACGATCTTATAAACAAGTTTTTAAGAGATTCTTATTGAAATTGAACCGGAAAAAAATGACATTTAACAACCAACTTTGTTAACAAAGCCATCAAGTCCTATATTAAGAGTTGATGTCAAGAGATAAACATCATTACAACCATAATCACAGAAAGGTGGAGACACTCATGGTAAACGCTTCACTTGTTTTCTTTGTTTTTTTTTTTACGTATTTGATATAATTTGTTGTTCTCATTGTTTTCTGTATCTTGTTGTGAAAGTTTGGTGATAAGGTTTGGTTGGAAATCAAATTTTTAATACCTAGGTAGTAAATCGTTTAAGGATTTGGTAAAAAATATATATTGCTGGGCAACATTTCATCTAATAGAAGTCCAAGTTCATTATGAAATTTAGCTCATCTTAGACCGAAGGAGTGGCCGAAATACAGATCCATTCTCAACAAAATTTCTCAAGCAGTACAGGTGATGCGGGATGTGAGATTTAAGATCTCTTCACCGAAAGCCAACACTTTGGCTAAGGCTATTGCTTGCAGCGTTACAAGAGATGGACGATTCAATTCGTATCTGGCGTCAGGCGGACCAGCTTGGTTACACACTCGGATTGAGGAAGAACGAAGGCAGAGGATTTGATCTTAGGTTCCTTCATCTGATCGATATCTGCAATTATTGCTTTGTTTTTAGTTTGCTGGGCTGTGCTCTGTTTCTTCATCTTTATTGCTCTGTTTTTATTATTTCCTTGTCTTATTATGAACCTCTTTCTTCGTTATAATGCAAGACGTTAAAAAAAAAATATTAAAAAAAGTTTGTTAACTACTATTTAAAATTCAAATATCATGGATAAAAATTTACATTTATTTATTAATTATCTAGTAAATTATGAAGGACGGTTAACAAAAACAGCCACAAAAATGACCGAGTTCCTGGTGTAGCCGAGGTTAGCGAGGATGATTATTTCTTTGGAACAATACAACTGTACGTTCTAAAGAAATAATTACAATAGCTAGTTGTCATGCTCTCGAACAGGATCAGATATCTGATTATGATCATGTTTTGATGCTTTTTGCCTATGATTCTTGGAAGGAATCAATATTTTCGGAAGAATGTTACAATAATAACAATGTAAAAGGTAAAACTTATTTTATTTGGTTTATTATTGTAACTAAAATTAGACTGTTTTTGAAATCATATGTAAATTGATAATATGCAGTATTCAAGCATAGAACATGTTAGAACCATGCACATAATATTGGGGAAAATTTTGCGGAACCTTCAAATCAAAGTATCCTCCAAAATGAATGATCTGGATGCTATAAAAAAATGCATCCTAATAGGCTTGTTGGTTTGGCCTAATTCCACTTGGAGATAAAAGGTTACTCTTCTACCTTTCCAATAACTTTAAGATCATCAAATTTGATGCAGGAAAATCTCTAACTAAACCCCAAATATATGAAGTACGAAAATTGTTCTGAAGCTTGTTTTACTATATTTTATCTTTTTGGCTCTAAAAGCCGTAAAGATTCTCAATATTACAAATACTCGAAAACTTATTAGAAAAATTAAAATAATTTAGAATGCTTGCTAAAAAAATATATAAATAATAGTGAAATTAGGTAAATGTACGATCTTATAAACAAGTTTTTCAGAGATTCTTATTGAAATTGAACCGGAAAAAAATGACATTTAACAACCAACTTTGTTAACAAAGCCATCAAGTCCTATATTAAGAGTTGATGTCAAGAGATAAACATCATTACAACCATAATCACAGAAAGGTGGAGACACTCATGGTAAACGCTTCACTTGTTTTCTTTGTTCTTTTTTTTACGTATTTGATATAATTTGTTGTTCTCATTGTTTTCTGTATCTTGTTGTGAAAGTTTGGTGATAAGGTTTGGTTGGAAATCAAATTTTTAATACCTAGGTAGTAAATCGTTTAAGGATTTGGTAAAAAATATATATTGCTGGGCAACATTTCATCTTATAGAAGTCCAAGTTCATTATGAAATTTAGCTCATCTTAGGCCTCTGTGGAAATAATAAACCCCAATTCGTCCTAAATAAGCCAAATATTGCAAGTTTGAAATCTGAGTATGACGGTTGTCGAAGATATATAGGATAATAGTGCGAAAAAATTTAAACAAGTTACACGTACATACAAAGATCTAGACATGTACCTCGAACTAATGGATTTATATATAAATAGAGGAGACATTCATTGTTGAAAGGGGATCAACATTTTTATCCGAAAATAAACAACATTAATCTCAAGTTCAACGGTTCTCTTTTTTCTTAGTTCTTCCTTCAATTGTACTAATTTACATCTATTTCAATAAAGCCATTCCACATTAATCTCGATTAGAATTTTTGTTCATTAAGATCCCGTTCTTATTTTATCATCGCAACTAGATTTTAACCCGCGGTACATCGCGGGATGATTTTTTTTTTTTTAAGTTAGTATATATAAAATTTTACAAATTGTATTTCATTTAAATATAAATATAGTTTACAATTGTTATTAAGTAACGGTATACCACGAGTCCACGGGATAATTGTTAATAAACTGAGGATTTAACCCGTATTAAAGCGGCATGTTAATGATATTTTAAAATTTCATAAATATTGATTCAAACCCGTCCCGTAATTTCTTAACCCGTTACGTGATTTGTTTTCTAAAAGTAGTGATTTTAAAATTTAGCGATTATTTATTATATATAAAAGTTTACAAATTGTATCATTCTCTAAGACATTTATATTTTAATAAACTAAAGATTTAATCTGTATTAAAGCGGCATGTTAATGATATTTTAAAATTTTATAAATATTGACTCAAACTCGACCACCATATAACCCCGTTCTGTAATTTCTTAACCCGTCCGTGATTTGTTTTCTAAAAGTAGAACTTTCAAAAATTTAACGATTATTTATTATATATAAAAGTTTGCAAATTGTATCATTTTCTAAGATATTTATATTTTCTATTTTACATTTTTTATTAAGTAACATTATACCACCAGACAATTTTTGGTTTTATACAATCTTTTCTAAATGAGACTGATTTGATATGTCTAATATTGATGGTATTAAAAAAAATTAAGGATTTAATCCGTATTAAAGCGGTGAATCAATGATATTTTAATTTTTTTTATTATTGCTGATTCAAAAATTTGTCCCGCCAAACCGTTCCGTCAAAAAACCCATTTATTTTAATAATGTTATCTTATTTATGATATGATTCTGAATCATTGTCTAAATATTTTAGTCGATGTGGAATGTTGAACATATATTTTTCGTCAAGTGGATAATATATGTCCTTTTTAAAATTTCGAATCAGCATAATTTTTTTTTTTTTAATGTATTATATGATGATTCAAAACAGTTAAAAACAAATCAAACAAAGATGATAAGAGAATCATAATTATAAATAATCAAATCTTTTAAATATCTAAATTATTAAATATGGAATATCTGTGTATGAGTTGGGCTAAATACAATCCGATCCAAAAATATTTTTATGACCAAAATTTGTAAACGGATCGGATACCTATTGTATCCAAATGTATTTTGCTCCACCCGCTAAAAATGTACCTTAAAAATACTAGTATAGATAACTAATCTAAACCTAAAAACTTTCTGAGATTTCCACAACAGTCCAAACGCAATCCAACAAAATTAGTTGGTTTCTACAATATCATTACCTTTTCTAGTCACAAAACAGAGTAAACCGTACCAAAAAAAAACTTTTGCGTTGCCAATGAAAAAAAGAAAAAGCAAAGCCATTAGGAAAGTGAATTGAGTGAAATTGCCGTTTGCATAAGAAAAGAACCAATCCAATGATCTCCATGTGCAAATCAAAGCATCTCTCTATACTCTTTAAAGTAATCCAAAGTCGAGACCACAAAAACTCACGATTTCACTCAAAATTATATAAAGAAATAAAACAATCTCTCATTTACAGATGCTTTTCTTCTGGATCACAATCATCACTAATTGCACTATACGCTATGTTTCAGTTTTTCTTCTTTCTTTTTTCTCTAATTGATGCCTTTGAATCTCTTTTTACATGTAGTCTTGTACATGACTCATGTGCTTGTGATTCTAAAATAATGCACCTTTCTTTTTCTTTTTCTTTCATAGCTTTTATATAGTAATCAGTCTCTTCACATGTGTGTTTGTTCCCATTTCTCAATTTCCAAGTTCTTAATTAAAATTGTCCTGAAACATAGCAATATGGGTGTTACAGGAGGATTAGTAAGAAGCATTTTCTTCAGAAACAAATCATTTGGAGCTCATGACTACAACATTGTATGTCGTCATTTTCATTAAAGACCCATCATCATTCGCGTTTTTGTTTTAACTACTACTTCAAATGTTGTAATGTTTTCAGGGAAGAAGCAATCTTGGAGAGAAGAAAAGATGGAGCTCGGTTAGATCGTACCTTTGCGGAGATGAATTCAACTCTGTTCTCGCTGTGAATGATTCAGGATCGGTCAAGGATTCTGATGCTCTGTTTACAATGTCTCAGCATCTGAATTCAGAGTTGGGTGTACCTTTTGGTTCGGTTATCGCAATTGAAGATTCAGCTTCTGTGAAGCGTTTGGAGGACGATGACTCTGTTTCCGTTAAGAGCTCAGAGGCAACAGTGACTCAACCTATACAGGAGGAGAAATCGAAAGTACTGAGTCATTATGTCAAAGAAGAAGATATTGATAACCAAAGCGAAGCAACAGAGACACACATACCCAAGAGGCATCAGACTACCCCAATCTCCAAGTTGCTCCTCGAAGAAGACGCTGCAGTCATAATTCAGTCAGCATTCAGGAGTTACCTGGTTAGTTTTTCCCTTCATTCTGGTCTTTGTCTTCTTCTGTTATGCCCACTCTATTGATTCTTAGGATGTCTTCAGGCAATACGCCGGAGCAAAGAAGAAGAGAAAACATTTGCTAAGGAGGAGAGCTTCTCAGGAGACGAATCTCAAGGGAATGTATCCATGGGGACATCACTAGAAGCTCAGACAGGTAGTTCTGTGAAAGCACCGTTCTTCCGGAGAAAACGAGTATCTGCAAATCGAGGAACACTACACAAGAACCAAACTCAAGTTTTGAGGATGAAGGTAAGCAAATATCCCCTTAAGTAACGGGGAGTTTAAAGATATATAGAAGAATAACATAACATGCTCACATAACAGGAAGACTGGGATGATAGTACAGTGAGCAGCACCATATCAAAATCGAGGATTCAAAGCCGAATCGAAGCAATGACAAAACGGGAGAGAGCACTTGCTTATGCATTTTCACAGCAGGTAAAACAATTTGAGAAAACTTGATCTCTGATTGTATCCTAAAAGATCCAAAGACCTTCTCTTTTCTAATCTGTGAAACACTTGTTTTAAAGCTAAGAATTTGCTCAAAGAAGAAGCAAATGGATCGTAGCAGTGAAGACGATTCTAACATCGGTTGGAGTTGGCTAGAACGCTGGATGGCAACCCGTGTACCAGACAGTATTCCAATTGAGCCGAGAACAAACATTCAAACAGATGTTGCAACGAAAAATCAAAGATTGATAAGAAAGAATAGATCTTTTGGTATAGCTGGCGAGTTGGAGAGCTGTGCTTCCAACGATCTACCTCTCCAGTTTGAAAGCATATCAGAGACACAAGAAGATGAAACTAAAGATTTTCAGACCGAAAAGAGCAGTCTAAGAGCGAGTATATCTAAGCGCAAATCTGTTCCAAGCTACAAAAGCCAGAGAAGGCATAACAGGGTAAGCAAAAAAACTACACAATGCACAGAAGTTTATAATTCACATCCATCTCAAACATACTCACTAACCATTAAGTTTGTTAAAGCTTCAGGTAACCAAAAGTGATCTGCAACAACAAACAAAGAAAGCTAAGAAGGCCAAGACCACACCCTCAAGCTGCAAAAGAGGAAACGAATGCGAAGAAACCTCACAGAAGCTAAGTAGTAGCACCTGAAATAATCTTTACCTGTAAATCTTTGCATTTAAATAACCTGTGTTTCACAAAAGTTTGTGCAATCTGATAACAACTTTCGGTAAATTATTTGGGAAATCAACCAGTAGTAAGGGATAAGAAACTGGAAACCCCAGAAATACATAACAAAGGCAGAGTATTTTAAGAGTAATGTAAACATCAAATCTTCTGTTTCTAAGAAGATATGTGTCTCAAATTTGATAATACAAGCTGGAACTGGGCCAACAAAACAAACTTAGATCCTATCAATATCCTCGTCCTCAAACTCAATGTAATCATCACCCGCATTCTCTTCATCTTCATCAAGATCACCAACAATACCTTCATTAAGACGAGTATTCTCCGGAAGCTCACCATACGCTTTAAGAAGCCTAGCCTCATCAGACATGTACTTGAGGATAACATCAGCTTTGTCATCCTGGTAATCCCTCAGACCAACAAGTATGATGTCACCAGCTGCAATCCAAACCTTCTTATGCATCTTACCACGGATATGGCAAAGACGTTTAACACCGTCAATGCACATAACGTCACAACGGCCATTACCGAGCATACGAAGAACTTGTGCATACTCTTGCCCATCTTCTTTAAAAATAAGCTCACGCTTCTCGTCATCAGCTTCATTCTTTCCTCTCTTCCTGTTCTTTCCTCCCTTTCCCTTGTTCTTCGGCATCGTCTCTGCGTCAAATTCACAAATGTCTCAGTCAAAAATTGTAACAAAGCCATTTATAAACTAATAGTTTACTTATGAAGGTCGGATTCCAGAAACAACGCGTTCTTCGCATAACAAAGATACATATATCTAAGGGATACAGAATCAGAATCTGTTCTAATATTGGCGTGAATGTTAAAAAAGTTTGAAGAATAGATTCGTTTTCAAATTCAGACAAAAATTGGCAAACTCGAGAGACAAAAATCATAATCAGATGAATCGAAACAATTCCGGTAACAAGAAACAATCAGATCAAAACATAATTAGCTAATTTCAATCACTGGAAACCCTAATTTAGAGTTGAATTGAAAAATCAGGGCGGCGGCGTTAAAAGGAAACCCTAATTGAGAAACAAAAGGGAACGCAGAGATTACCAGTATGGATTGATCAAGTTGTTGAAAGTAATCAAACGACGATCTTTCAAGAGAATCGGTTTTTTTTTTTCTTCAGGAAGGTTTCGTAGCTGCGTGGTGTTGCTCTACTTTTTCTCGATGTCACAGAGACAGACGTCTTTTTTTATTTAAATACTATAGCTAATTGTAAAAAACCCTCGAAATTAGGTTTTATTACCAAGTCATGCCATTCCCATTTTCTAATAAGACTTTGTTTCTTTTTTTATTTTTGGATTATGACGTTTGTGTCTTGTGAATACTATACTGAGCAAGCGATAACATTGCTGGGAGATCTTGTGGGTCAGGTCACTGAAGTTGTCTTTGATCCTGATAAGCCTCAGAATAAAGATTTTGTGCGTGTAATGGTTAAGTTTGATGTGTCGAAGCCTTTGAGAAAATCAAAACTGGTAAATTTGCCTAAAGGTCTCTCGGATTCTGTTTACTACTTCTATGAGAGGGTTCAAAAAAGGTGTTACCGTTGTCAACGGCTCACCCATGAGCAAGAGGACTGCCCGCTCAAGATTATTGATAGGAAGATGGGTAAGAAGGTGGAAAAAGCAAAGCCTCCTTTGGTGTTAAAAGAAGGAGATCCTTTATTTGGAGTTCTAAATGAAGACCAAGTTGGGATACATCCTCTGTTGGGGAGACCTCGTATTGCTCCGGATGTCCTTGAAGGAATGAGGCAGTATCTATTAGTGATAAGTGGAGAAGAGCGCAAAATCAGAGAGTGTAGGGTTAAATCGTCTGTGGCTGATGCAGAGAAAGACCCTGTGGCTCAAAAGACTGTTTTGACGCTGGAACCGGCTCCAATCATCTCTGAGGATTTTAAAAATGGGAAAGAGATTGTTTTTGGATATGAGTCTGCAGAAGGTTCTTCTAGAGATGTCAGTCAACTTGGACAGCCTGCTGATGTGATGGAAGCTGTTGATTCTGGTGTTAAGGTAAGGCCATCTCCTTCCGCAATGGAGACTGATTGGGTAAGTGCTGAGTTATCAGAAAGTAATACTTTTACACAAAGCTAAATAGTTGAACCATCTTGTTAAGCCTATATGTTACCATATATGACTAAGCAGAGGCAAGCACACATATCTTCCCTCACCCCCATATCGAAAGGGTAAACATGTGTCTCTTTCCTCCACCCTAGGTTGAAAAGACAAGCATGCGTATCTTCCTCATCACCTTCAAGTCGAAAATCGAAACTTAAAGCTTATGTATACAATGCAGTGCCATCGCTTCTTGACATTGTTAATGATAGTTTTGAAGGTAAGAGAAAATAGTTTTCATTTTCCTGTGATTTTGATTGCTCTATTATTTTTTTTTACCATGTTTTGTCAATTTCAGCGAATGATATGTCTGATGATGAAGAGACTAATGGATCTCTTCCCTCACCCTCGTGTCGAATGGCGAAATTGCATCAGTGTATTTCTCCTTTTAGTTTTTATATGTGTTTTTGGTCAAATCGTGAGAATTATAGTTATACTATGAGTAGCTAATATGCCAAATATTGTGTTTTAAAAAACAATGTCTTTCAATCAAACATCTAAAAACATTGTATTATTAACTAAATTAATATTTAAACAAAATATTTTTTCATGTATATAAATAAACATCTATAATTGATTTCGTGATTAGTAATTGGTAAATATAATGATCTTTACTTTTTGCTTCAAATAATAAAAAAAAAATTAAATAAAACTTAAGAAAAATGTATGAAGTAGATGTATCAATTATGTGATTGTAAATTGTTTTGGAAAAAGAAATTTAGCTAAAATTTTATATATAAATACATGTTAAGTGTACCAACTGGGTAAGAGAAATATATCTTTTTGGAATTATGATTAACATATATTTTAAAAATTTTGGTATGAAATAAATCAAAAAAGACAAAGTGGAAATGAATGAGGACATGTGCCACCTAAGAGAGTGCCAAATTTCATAATGTTAATGAAACTAAATAATGGAAACCACATGTCAACTTCTTAGAACATGAGTTTGGAGAAAACTTTATTTTATTATATAAGATGATGATGTATTTGAATTTTGTAAATGCATATATAAAAATTATGGATTCAAACACACATTAAAACTATGGTTATTATGTTCTATAAGTTATCATTTAAATATATATTAAACACAAAAACTTTAAATTATCCTTTAAACACACATTAAACACAAATTATTTTCACATTTATGATTATTGTATTGAAAACTCTAAGTTAATTATTTTTTGTAAATGCATATATACAAATTATGGATTTAAACACACATGAAATCATATATATGAAAGTTGGCCAACTCTCTCCATATGAGTGACACATCATCACACAAGAAAATGACATGTGCCATTCAACATTATTTAAATTAAAAAATCAGCAAAATTAATTGAGGGAAAATCAAAAGTCTTCTATTGTGTTAAATCCTCCATTAATCTCATTCTTAAATGATTTCTTCAAAATAAAAATAAAATTATAAAATTATTTTCATAAATCAAACACTACTTTCATTTTACTTTTCTTATTTTTCTAATTTTTTAATTTAGTGGTCAATGGTTATCACTCGATAATAACTAAATAATTATTTGTGTTGTAGTTTAGTTGTTTGCTACCTAATATCTTATTAGTTTAGTAATTTTATCTTGAATATTTTCTCATTATTACGTTATGGTTCATATCTTATTATATGACATATGGACCAAAGTCCTTCTTATATAGGCACAAATCTCAACTATTCACGAGAGATTTCAGCCCCCAAATCTTACTCTCATAATCCCACGCTTCTTCCTCAACGTTGCAAAGTCGGTGAGAAAAAGTTGCAGTCACGATTTTGACTTTTTCCTTTTTGTGAAGAAAGAGATTTTATCAAAGCTTAATTATCAAAAAACCAACGTGGATTATAGAGCCCATTTCGAAAACATAAGGCCCAAAACAATTTGAAGAAACATACCCAACAATCCCCCACATGTTTCAAAAATTAAAAACCCGTTGATGTCTAAAAGACTTGAATCAACAAAAAAGACAGTTTGAGAGTTTCGCAAAACATATACAAATTTATCAAGAACTTTCTTACAACCCTGCATCATAAGTGTTCTAGTGAGTTAGCCCACAACTCAACTAGTTAGGCAGTTTGTACCTTAACACTTATTTAGGTGACTTATCAAGTGTGTGTTGTCTCACACCCCCATACGGGAATAAGTTCATTAAGAGACCATATGTCTCAACCTTCCAAACAACAACAACATGGGAACTTAACTATCATCAGATTAATATCATTCCTTCGTTTGACCAATTTGAACCGAGAATTTAGAAGTGAATAGAATTCTTGGTTTGGTATCCAGAATGACGTACCCATGATCATGCATTTTAGAAAACACACACGTATCTCCAAAATTTGAAACAAAACCATTTTCATGCAAAGTGCTACTGAATTTTTCAAACCATTGCTTAGGGGCTTGCTTAAGACCATAAAGAGATTTTTTTTAATTTGCACACTTTATGTTCTTGACCATGCACAATAAATCCCTCAGGTTGCACCATATAAATTTCCTCATGCAAATCACCATTTAAAAATGCAGTTTTCACATCCATTTGATGCACTACCAACTTATGAGCAGACGCAAGAGCAAACAATATGCGAATGGTAGCAATTTTAGTAACAGGAGCATAAGTATCGAAATAGTCTACTCCCTGTTTTTGGGCAAAGCCTTGAGCTACCAGCTTTGAATTTTTTCAATGGAGCCATCAGCTTTGAATTTTTTCTTTAGAATCCACTTGCATCTGATAGCTTTGCATCCCCTAGGCAAATCAACAATCTCCCAAGTGTGGTTAGTCATAATAGAATCAAATTCATTATTGTCTGCTTCTTTCCAAAAACTAGCATCCACAGATTTCATAGCTTCAGAAAACGTTTAAGGATCTTCTTCTATTAAGAGAGCATACACAAATTCTTCACTAATCTCATCATACTCAGCTAGAAAAGCAGTAATGAAATCTGGACCAAAATCAGTTTCAGTTCTCATTCTCTTACTCCTTCTAGGTTCTTCACTATCATTAAGAGTTCTTTTAGCAGATGCATTACTAGGAGAAGCAAGTTCTAAGCTACATGCATTGCTAGGAGAAGCAGATTCTAAGTTTCTCTTAAAAGGAAACACATTCTCAAAAAATTCAACATCTCTAGACTCGATCATGCTATCAAACTGCAAAGAATCATGCTTAAAAGTTAAACAACGATAAGCAGCACTATTCAAAGCATAGCCAACAAACACAGCATCAACAGTCTTAGGACCAATGGAGTTTCTTTTAAAAGCTGGCAGTCCTACTTTAACAAGACACCCCCCACACTCTCAAATAACTCAAGTTAGGAGAATGTCCTTTCCAAATTTCATAAGGTGTAACAGGAATTCCTTTATGAGGCACTTTATTCAAAATATAACAAGCAGAAAGAATAGCTTCCCCCCACATTTAATCAGGCAACCCAGAACTAATAAGCATAGCATTCATCATTTCTTTAAGGGTTCGATTTTTTCTTTCAGCAATGCCATTTTGCTGGGGAGAATAAGGTGCAGTTCTTTCATGAATAATACCCTCTTTCAAACACAAAGAATTCAGAATTTCAGATTCATATTCTCCACCTCTATCAGATCTTAACCTCTTATTTTTTCTATCTAGTTGATTTTCTACTTCAGCTTTATATCTCATAAACATTTCACAAGCCTCATCTTTTGTTCTTAACAGATAAACCCTCGTATATCTAGAACAATCATCAACAAAAGTGATATAATAATGCTTGCCACCTCTACTAGTGGTGCTTTTAAAATCAGCCAAATCAGAGTGAATAAGCTCAAGCAATTCAGATTTTCGATTAACAGGATATGAAAAAGGTTTTCTAGCTTAACAGAAGGTGGATTATAGAGCCCATTTCGAAAACATAAGGCCCAAAACAATTTGAAGAAACATACCCAACACTCAAGAACTAGGGCTGGGCTTTTAAACTGAACCGAATGTACCGAATCGAAACCGAAGCAAAAAAAACCGAACCGAACCAAACCGAAAATTTGAAAATAACCGAATGGATACTAAATTTGATAACCGAAATAACCGTAACTGAATCGGTACCGAACCGAAATATTTCGGGTAACCGAAATACCCGAAATACAATTGTATTTTCGAAATAATTAGTTATTTATTGACCAAATAATCAAAAATACTTGAAAAATCTATAAAAATAGTAAAAATACTCAAAAATAACCGAAAAATATCCAAAAATATTCGAAAATACTCAAAAATAACCGAAATATCCGAAAATATCCGAAGCAAAATAACCGAATGGATACTAAATTTTAAAACCGAAAGAACCGGAACCAAACCGAAACCGAACCGAAATTTCAAAATATCCGAATGGATACTAAATTTTAAAACCGAAAGAACCGAAAACCGAATGGACCCAACCGATAACCGAACGGATAACCGAAAACCCAGGCCTATCAAGAACTATGAAGATGATAAGACATGAGAAGCAAATAAAGAGAAGAAGGAAGCAGAGGAAGTCAAGGGAGCGTTGACTGCGTGATGTGTTGAAAAAGGAGAGCAAAGCCTCTAGGTGTTGCAGGCTTCATAGTATAAATAACAAGAGTTATGAATTTAGAGAGTTCATGTTGAATGTTGTATGATTTCTCCTGCGTGAGATCTAAGGTGTAGTGAGCTAGAGAAGATGATGCTCTAGTCAGTGGCGGAGCCAGAATTTTTGTTTATAGGGGTCATATATATTATTATTTTTATTTAATTACATATTAATATTAAATAATATATTTTATCTTGATTTATGATATTTTATAGAAATATATGTCAAAACAATTTTGAGAAAAAGAACGAAAAAAACAAGATATCCGATGATACAAAGAAAAAGAATCAATATGTAAAAAAACTATTAGAGAATTGTAATCATTTTTTAGGAAAAAACAAAACAAACATAGAAAGAAAATTAATGTTGAATGAAAAATTAAATATGAATGGGGTCAAAGACATAAAATTATGGCATGACATAGGGGTCAACTAGGAAATTTTGTACCAAAATATCTAAAATCATTAGATAATTTACCTTATAATTTCAAAACTTTAAAATGTTATGGGGTCAACTGACCCCCTCCCTCTTAATTGGCTCCGCCCCTGGCTCTAGTCTCTGCTTTGTATGACATTCATCGTTAAGCAATAAGAGAATACGTATTCAGATGCTTAACAGAAGAACTAGGGTTTTGTATATATAATTGTGGATCCCTATAAAAGAGGACAAAACTCTCTATTTATTCAAGAGAGGTCCGTTAAGATTAAGCTATATTTCCTTAAATTTAGGGCTTGAATCTTCAAGTTGCATTTATCTTCGAGTTTTGACATTATCTTTGAGGGAATTTTCTGGAATCCCGTTTATGGCCAATTCATTTCCCAACATGTTCCTCTCTGGAGCGGGTAAGGAAGTCCTTTTGTAGGTTGTTCTCTCCGCAATGCCCACATATATAATGTCAAGTTTCA